ACCCACGACCGGACTTACGGTCCGTAAGTTAGGTCACGGACCGTAGTTTGTGTCCGTGGATCGATGCCCCAAAAGCCCAGCTTCAGTCCCAAACTACGGTTGACCAGCGCGCTGTGACGAATACTATATTTCGAGGGACTTATCGCGCGCCGCGATGGTTACTATTATCGAGGGTCGTATCGTGCGCCGCGATGGATGCATGGACAGATATGTCCCCCATGGTTCCCGGACTGAGAGACAACGGGTGTGTATCACTAGGTCAGACATGCATCACTATACTTGACATTGCATTTCATTGCATTGCACATATTTATCATATAGTGAACTTGATATTGTGTTTTGCTGATCTTGTGAGTGCCTTTCTCTGGAACTTTGATTGGTGAATATTGAGCTTGTTGTTGAGGATATGCAATTGTTAGAGTGTTGTTGTTGAGTTGTGCCCTATGTGAATTATGAACTGTTAGGTTGGGTTGGCTTTATGCATGTTGTAGTTGTGGAGGTTCGGTTTGGGTGTAAGGAGTACCTATATTCTATCCCCTTAGCTTGTGTTTAGAGGTTTATGTAACACCCCAGAGAATTTTTCGAACTAAGACTCGAGCCGTCCTTCATGTGGAGTGAGATTTTACCGAGGAATAAAATTTCTTGAGTGTTAAGTTAAGGTACCTAGATGTAGCACATTGAGTTCCAAGAAGAGTTGAATTGGAAATAGTCATTTTTGGAAAGAATTTTAAAGTTTTGGAAATTTGGCTAAGTATGGAAATCAGTGAATTTTTGGCCAACTTTGAGCAGTCGTAAATCCTAGCTCAAGATGAGTCAGGAGTATTTCCTATTATGGTTGTGAAGCTTGTGGAATGATCTTTCCAACACCACCGAGTTTGCTCGATTCCGAGTTCGTAGGAGTGAGTTATGACCTTGGGAAGTTGGGCTGTTGGCAGGGAAGCCGTCCGAAAATTTTAAGGGCATTTTGGTCTTTTCACTAACCAATTCCTTTGGTTATATTATTGTGTTAGGCTGATTTGTGGATCATTTTTGTTCCATTCTAAAAGAGTGAGAGTGAGGGTTTTGAGTGAAGAAGAAGAGAAGAAGAGAAGAAGAGAAGAAGAGGAGAAAGAGAAGATCAAGCAAGAAGATCGTCGTGGTATCGTCGGGGGTGATCCCTATTAAGGTTTGTGAGCCTTTAGTGTTGGGTGATCCTTTCCCCCACACACAAAACTCATTTTTATTATTGAGGAAAGATTGGATTTGTTGTTGAAGTTGTTGAAGTTGTTAGTTATTGTTCTTGTTGAAGTTTATGGTTGTGTTGGTTGAAGTTTGTGGTTGTGTTGTTGAAGTTTCTTGTGGGTTTGGTGTATGTTTCCGGTGGAGTTTTTGAGTTGAATCTATGGTATATTGAGGGTTTTAATGATTCTAAGTGATTTGGGGAAGAAACCATTCGATTTTAGGCGAAATAAGGTGAGAAAACGAGAAAATAAACTTGCTGAAATTTCTGGGTTGGGGGCCTGGCGCGACGCGCCTGCCAGAGCGCCCCAAACTCACCTCTGAAGTTTAGGGGCTGGCGCTCCGCGCCACCCATGGCGCCAGGGTCACTTGCCCCATCCAGTTGTCGTCGGTTGCCCCGTTTGAGTTCATTTAAAGTGCGCATTCACTCCTTTTCGATTCTAACTACTCTAAGCTACTTCTAAACACCTAAAAGTCATTCCCAACATGATCGAAAATCTTGAATTCATAATTCAAATTCAAGGTAGAGTTGAGAGTTATGTTTTGAGAATTCTTTCAAATATTCTAAGGAAATCCCTTTGAGTCTTTGTGAGGAGTCGTCTACAATTTCTAGTAACTTGTTTCAAGACTCGAGCAAGTGAGTAAGAAAATGAGAAGTGTCGTAAATATGAGATCATTACCCTTGAATCCATAATCCAATTCAAGGTGAGTTAGGATCGAATTCAAGTGAAGTTAGTTTCCAATTCAAGTGAAGTTAGATTCCAATTCAAGTGAAGTTAGTTTCCAATTCAAGTGAAGTTAGTTTCCAATTCAAGTGAAGTTAGTTTCCAAGTCAAGTGAAGTTAGAAGCCAAGTGAAGTTAGAAGCCAAGTGAAATTAGAAGTCAAGCTTAGAAGTTAAGTAAGCCCAAGCAAGTCTTCAAAGTTTTCAAGAGTCTTCATTGAACGTTTTAACTTCATTCTAAGGCTCAAGTTCCAAGTTAAGTATACAGTTTCAAGTCGAGTAAAGAGTATCGAGTTTCAGTTAAGTCAAGAGCTTCAAGTTAAGTCAAGAGTTTTCAGTTAAGTCAAGAGTTTCGAGTTAAGTCAAGAGTCAAGAGTTGAGTTCATTTCTCAAAAGTTATTAGGGAACTAAGTATTCCCAAAGAAATTTATAAATGTTTTCACATTTAAGATGAGAGGAAATTGAGATTTCCAAAAGAGTTTTGAGCAGCTGAGTACTATCTCTTTTGATAAAGGATAAGTTTTGTGAAAGAGTTTCTAAAACATGATTAGTATGACAAATCGAGTATGTCATCAATGTTTAAACAATATGGTCTCTAGATATACCATCAATGTTTAAGCAGTATGAATATCCCGAGTCATTAATGATCATATTAAAAATATGGTTTTGACTTCTTGTTTTTAGAAAGAGTTTTCAAGAGCCTTTGGGCTAAGTTTTGAGTAATTATCTCAACTAAAGAAAGATGTGTTTAAAACACTAATGAGCTAAAGTATTTTGGGAGTAGTCTTGAGCACCGAATTGGGGACACGAGTTCATATTAACTCAACTCTCCATAAGAACCATGTAGCCAAACATGGGATTTCTCGGATCATACTTTTTAGATGATCACGTAAGATTAAGCTAGTGGATCCACTTGGTAAAGATAGCTTCCTATACCACGGCCAGGTATAGGATGGTCCTTGGGCAACGTGAGGTAAAACGTTGTATCATTAGCTTCCTATATCACAACAAGGTATAGGATGGTCCTCGGGCAACGTGAGGTAAAACGTTGTATCATTAGCTTCCTATATCACAACAAGGTATAGGATGGTCCTCGGGCAATGTGAGGTAAAACGTTGTATCATTAGCTTCCTATATCACAGCAAGGTATATGATGGTCCTTGGGCAACGTGAGGTTAAACGTTGTATCACTACTTAAGCATGTAGTGGTGGTTATTGGTTAAAAAACTCCCACAGTAGAAAGAGCTTGGTTCCTCAAGAAGTTCTGCTTAGTGTGGATGGGGGTATGGGACTTCATTCATACATTGCACAAGTAGACTTCGAAAGGAAGCATGGTATTTTCATGATATTATAAATATGATTTTTACGTCATGTTTTAAATAGTTTTGCAAGCTTTATATATATTACATGTGTCTCATTGCTTTATATTGAGTTCAGTTATTTGTGAGTTGTACAGAGCCAATGTAAGTTATCTTTTGTATTCTTTTCAAGCTTAAGTTGTTGTTTAGCGGTCCAGCTCGCATACTCGTACATTCCATGTACTGATGCCAGTTGGCCTGCATCTTGTTATGATGCAGACGCAGGTACCCAGGATCAGCATTCAGTACGCCGTTGATCCAGCTGAGCACACCAGAGTCAGTGTTGAGCCTCCTTGCATTCCGGAGGACTCAATTATTTATGTTCTTAAGTTTTGTTTTATTAGGATGTTGGGGGGTTTGTCCCAACATCCATCTCAGTATTTTAGAGGCTTCATAGACAGTCAGTCAGTCAGTTAGTTTGAGTATCTCTTTGTGTATATTTATGTAAATATTCTATTTTGAGACTCGAGTTGCTGTTTGGGCCAGATTTTATCCGTTGGTTGTTTTATAACCTTTCATTGCATTGAGTTATGCTTTTGAGATAAGTTTCCGCTGAGTTAGGAAAGCCAGGCCAAGAGTTCGCTTGGGGCCAGCAATGGTTTTCGAGTGCCGGTCCCGCCCAGGGTGTAGGCTCGGGGCGTGACAGTTTACTTGCTGAGTACCTCATGGTTTGGTACTCACCCCTTGCTACTACATTTTTTTTGTAGGTCACTAGCCCGGACCTTTGTGATATATTCTCTTCTTTTCCGAGGTTTCTTGGAGATTTGTGAGGTAGCTGTTTGTCAACTCAACAGACCTTCTTACTCCTGTTTATGATCTTGTTCTACTCTAGAAACAATGTCATATGAGACTTGTGTTTTTCTTTTGAATTAGTTGTAATACTTTAGAGGCTTGTACACGTGACAATCAAATTTTGGGGGTATTTTTGAGTTAATTATGAAATTTCCGCATTTTATTGTAATGGGTGAGTGTTAGGCTGACTTGTCTTGGTGGGATAAGACGAGTGTCATCACATCCATTTTTGGGTCGTGACATTGGCTAACTTTTTGAGATATTTTTTGTAGTACATAGTTCTAGAAGCCGTTTTCAGAAGCTAAAAAAGTGTAAATTTTTCCTAAAAACACTTCTTTTTTGCAAAACACTTTAAAGAAAAATACTTTTAAAAGTACTTTTAAAAAATTTGATCAAATATAATTGTGCTAAAAAGTTCATTTTTATTTATTTATTATAAACAAACTATTTCTCACCAACAAATACATTTTAAAAAAACACTTTCAAAAAAAGACTTTTCACCATAAGTTTATTTTAGAAGTTAGCCATACATATTAAGGATGTCTGATTAATTGTTGGTACCCACTTGCATATAAGTTCACATTAATATGAAGAAATTAACAAGTATTGAATAAAATTTCTTTTAAAAAATAAATCAAAATGCTAGTCGTCAATTTTATATTCTTTATCTTCACTTATTCATTTTCATCATTCTCTTATTCTTTTCGTGTATTTAACTTCAATTACATTATATTGTTAATTTACCTTGATATCTGATGGATCAAATCACTTGCCTCAAAGTAGTACTATTTTTTTTTCTCATTCATTTAGGATATCTAAAGTTGAAGAATCTCTTATATCATATCATAATTATTTGTATAATATTAACTTGGCACTTCAAATTATATTTTTTTAAGAAGATTCAAATACCATAGCATAAAATAACGATAATTTATTTAAATATTTAACACAACCAAAAGGTTACATAATCCAAGCACACATTACATAGAGAGACATTTCTATTGAAATTTATCCCTCAAACTCCTTTTATTTTGAGGTTGAAATACTTAAATGCGTGCAATCATAAATATTGCAAGCGTTTATTATTCAGCATAGTAAGGTTACTACTACAACCCGAGACCTTGAATTAATAAGAAGCTTTGTTTGCTCGGAGTTTCTTCCTATCAGAGAGCAATTTTGCAAACCTACAACGAAATAAACTATTTTAATTAGCAATAAAATACTAATATGAATAATATTGACTGACGAGATATAGTAATATGAAAAAAAAAAAAAGAATTATTTCAAGCACCGATAGTTTTACCTCTTTAGAGCTTCCTCATAGGTTTCAGGACTGTCTTTGGAAACTGGTTTCTTCAATAATGTTTCACCAACTTGTACTAATAATTCCATATTAGCCTCAGACGCATCATCCATTTCAGTAGTTGTGCCTGTTAATGCATTTTCCTGGAATTAAATATACATAATTAGACATACTTCACTATCATATATGACATGCATATTATAAAATAATAATTATGAAGAAACTACATAATAAGACATACTTCACTATCATATGTACTTTTAAAATTTTACGTATCTTATCATTTATTAAGAGTTTTCTACCATATATTAAGAAAAAATTACTTAGATACATGTACCAGATACACAAATATAGGGAGAAAGATTCGTATGTATCTGGTAAAATAGGTAATATTGCAAACTAGCTAGTGAGATTTATGTAAGTTTAATTTCCGATAATAATAAGAGGAATTAAGTTGGGACTTACTTGAACCCTGAGGTAATTGTTTTGTGAATGATGAGCTTGAAAAACAGTAGAAATGTAATAATCAGTCATGTAAGAACTTGCTGCATTAGTCATTTGCTGTATAGCTAACAGCCATCGTAGAGGACCCCATTTAGCTGCCTCTTCTGCTGTATATGTTTTATCAAACTCTGAATTAGTGCCAGTGCCTAATGAGAGCAACAACATTTGCTTGTAATCCAATGACTTAATTGAAGCAAATTTTGGATCCTCTTGTGCAAGTCTCGTTGCAACGCTAAGGGATAATAACGCCTGCACGTCGTACGTACAACATTGATTAGATATTTCGAAAAAACTCAAAAATTGAATCGAGAGTAGTATTACTGTAGTATTAGTACCGGATCACCAACAGTAGCAACAGCACCATCAACAAGATTGAACTCATATATATCACCATTACTAGTATGAGTAATAAAGTAATGTGGAGGAAAATATATTGGAGCTGCTGCTGTGGAATAGCATATGTCATACATCTTAGCATCCAATTCTGGAAACTTTGCTAACTGCATGCATTTTAAAAATAATATAAAATTAGTCGAAATATACATTTTAAGATAATATATATTTTTGTATCTATTTACCCAACGTCTTGTTTACAAATCATGACTATAATTATTTTTACTTACATTTGACTTAGTGAATATTACTGGCTTATTTGTTTTGATGTCAAAGCTTGAGATGGCAACTTCTGTCAAAGCTTGATGCACACGAGTTTCTCCAAGTTTTTCTTGAAGAACTTGCAGAAGATATTTTCCATCATACCTTGGGCTAGAAATTGAACCACCACTGCATAATATACTGTAACCAAATTAAATATAAGTATAAAGAACAGATGATGCATTACTTAATGGGAGGGATGTATCTGAGAGGGGATAGAGATGTAACTGAGAAGAGATTTTTGTAATTTTTTTAATGGTAGGAAATTTTAGAGAATATAATATATTAAGTTGTGTATTTATGTAATTTTTCCTAAATATAATTCATTACTCGAAACATATTCTCCTTCTTTCTTTTGAGTTGTTTGACCTATTTTTTTTAGTCCATCTAAGAACAATGTACTCCATCTGTCCCATTTTATGTGACATTTTTCGAATTTCGAGATTCAAATAAGTTTATCTTTGATCGTAATTTTTTTATAGATTTTTTAAAAATTCTGAATTATCAATTATTGTGACTTGTAGTACTTTTTACGTAATTTACAAGTTTATAAATTTCATTTCAAAAAATTTGCAGATTTCATGCGCAAATTGTAGGTCAAACTTAAACTGTTTGACTCTCGAAAAACAAAAAATGTCACATAAATTGGAACAAAGAGTGTAAGCAATTGTTTTTACTTTATAGTGACTCTTTGATTTCAACTTTCAACTGGACATGTTTAAGACCACAATATTAAATATTGATACGTTTGACATCTGAAGACTCAAAAATCTTTTTTCACGCTCTTAAACTCCGTATCAAGTTAAAATTAGATAAATAAATTAAAACAGAGGAATATAAATATGTATATGTACCTAGAATTAAAAATATGAGGGCCATGTTCGAAGTAAAAAGGTACAAAATCTTTGGCAGCAGCAATGGGTCGATTGTTTTCATTTGGAGTAGTTATCATAGCAGTCAATAAACCTCCTGTACTTGTTCCTCCAATTACATCAAAGTAATCTGCAAGTCTTGCATCTTTATTATTGTCCACTTCCTGACTCGAAAAGAAAAGTAAGTCGTATAAATAATAACTCACTTATTAATCAGATAGTACATTTATATATTAAAAAAAATAATTAGTAAATAAGTTGTAACATAAGAAAACCATAATTTATTTGAATAATAATTAGCTTTATCACGACCCTATCGACAATAGAAGTACTATTACTAATCATTATCACAAATAAGCATCGAAAAAATACAATTCAAGCGTAAAAAACGATTGTAATGTCACACTTACATAAGTACACGAAAAAATGTTTTTACGATACTTGAAGTTGTCCTTCAAGAAAATCAAGAATGGTACCCGGAATGACTATAGTAGTAGTGTCACACTTACGCACATACATTAAAAAATATTTTTACGATACCTGAAGTTGTCCTTCAAGAAATTCGAGAATGATAGCTGGAATGATTCCCTTAATTCCACCTCCATCAATACTAAGAACAGTCACCATTTCTTCCAACTTAGCACATGTTGAACTAGTAGTTGCTAATATCATAAAAAATAAAATTAAAAAAGATTTAGTAGTTGCCATTTTGCAAATGTTCAAAGTGTTTTTAAATTTTGTTGGTGCTTTGAGCATATAACAAGCATGGTATATATAGGCACGTAAACAAGTTGAGAAATTTTACTTTGAGTTTGACATAACCAATAAAAGTTAGTGATGTTTATTACCTCACTCACTTTGCACCGCAACTGTCGTTAGTGATGTTTACCTTTCCTTTTTCTATTCTTTATTAGTATTATATAATATATATATATATATGTGTGATGAGACTTGAAATTGTTTAGCACCGTAAATGTCCTTCTTGAGGGGAGGTTTTCTTTTGCTGAGGTTGGGGTGTCACATACACCCCCCTCTATGGACTCAACGTCCTTGCTGAGGTTTACCCCACACTACATGAGATTTTTCTAGACTCAACATTATGATATTTCTCGCCTTATCGGAATTGCTTAAACTCAGTTGAAGTCAGGGTCATATCGACAAAATTGACACATGATCGACTCTGATATTAAACAGATTCTCTCCCTCGCACCTCACTCACTTTCCTTTTTCTATTCTTTATTAGTATTATATAATAGATCCGTTCCAACCATTCACGTACATAAGAAGAGAGATATTTTTTTTAATGGACTAACATGACAAATAAAACAAACAAAGGAGTGATGATCACTACAACAAATTAGATTATGAGGGACAAATAATTTCATCATCTATAAATCATATTTCGTCACTAAAAATTTTGTGTGACGAAAAAAAATTCGTCAATCAGTTGTCACTAAACGTGTGTCACTAAAAATATACAAAGACGATTTAGTGATGTTTACCTTTCCTTTTTCTATTCTTTATTAGTATTATATAATAAATATATGTGTGATGAGACTTGAAATTGTTTAGCACCGCAAATGTCCTTGTTGAGGGGAGGTTTTCTTTTGCTGAGGCTGGGGTGTCACATACACCCCCTCTATGGACTGAACGTCCTTTCTGAGGTTTATTTCACACTGCATGAGATTTTTCTAGATTCAACATTATGATTTCTAGACTCAACACTACGATCGTCACTAAAGATTATTTTTTATATATAAAAAAATACTTTGTCCTTAAATGTATAAATTAGGGATAAATTTATTATTATAAAAAAGGTTAATATTTTTGTGATTAAATCTATCATTTTGTCACTAAAAGTGTTGCTTTTACCGATGACATATATTGTCACTAAATATTATCATAAGTAGTGACAATTACAATTGTCACAAAATAAAAAAATTTATTCATATTCAACAAAAAAGGGTACTACAACAATACATTTATTGTCACTGAAAGTAATCAAGTTGTGATAAATTAATTTATTTAATGACAAAAATATTTGTATCAAAATTCACCCATGATCATATAATAAAAATAACTTAAATTATACTAAAGAATAATATCTCATTACAAACTCCTTAAATAAAAGTAAAATATGTCCAATGACAAAAAAATCTAACTAAAATATATCAAAAATTACTCCTACACAAAGACATATAAGTAAAAATTCCTTCCAACGTATCAATAACGTGGTGACACATAGCTTGCAATCAATCTTGCTTCAATTCTCACCTTTTATACCTGTAAAAAGAAAGAGAAAATAAAACAATGATTTAAATTGAAATATTCATATTAGAGTCAAAAGTAAAATATGTAACACAATTTGTCTTTCATATGTTATAATGTCCAATTTTATAAGTAATTTTTAATTTACAATAAAAATTTTATCATTACAAATTTAACATAAGTGAAAGTTTATGAAGTATATCATCACAAACTACTCTATATGGCAACATAAACTTCATCATTCATGAAACTGCTAACTATTAAAACATAATGTAAAAACTGCAATTCAGTAAAATTATAAGTGCAAAATGAACAAAAGAACATAAAAACCTCACATAAAACCATAAAAATAGTACCAAGTTCATATTTTTAACAATTGGTCTTCTAAATAAAGAAAAAATAAAAAAGAAGACTAAGTTGTGATTAGGCCTTATATGGTATAGTCTCCGGTCAATTACTGAACCACAGAGTGTGAAAAATGATAATAAAACAAAGCCAATAAAAGTAAGATCTACATATTCATTAAAGATCAACCAGTGATTATGTGAATATAGGGTTAAAGAATATGAAATACAAAGAAAAGACCTTTCTTGTTGATTTCTTTTCAATTTTTGCTATCATTTCTCTCTATATATTTGTTTTAAAGTTGAACGTGGGTGGTGAGAAAGGAAAGGAAGATGAAGAAGATAAAGAAGAAAAAAAGGAAGATTTTTTTCTCTTTTTTGTATCAGTGTGATTGAACCACCTGAAAAGAAAGTTTTTTTTTATGTTTCCTATTTTGATTCTTTTAATTTTTTTCCTTTTTAAAATTAATTTATTGTCTTGGAAGATAAAAAAAAAAAAAGCAACTTTCACATATAGCAAACACAAAATTCATATTTGTATGCTATAGCAAAGTTTGCATAATTGCGCTCCATAGCAAACATAAATATGTATATTTCGTTATACATATACAAAAGAAAGCAGTTGTATAATCTGTTTTGGTATACATATACAAAAAGATCAATTGTATAAAGTGAGAGAGGCGAGTGAGCGAGCGAGATCTGGGAGAGTGGCGAGCGAGATCTGGGAGAGGGGAACAAAAATATATGTATATATACAATTTTTACGCATTTTATACATTTGAGTTTTTATATAAAGTGAGAGAGGCGAGTGAGAGAGCGAGATCTGGGAGAGTGGCGAGCGAGATTTGAGAGAGGGGAGAGAGGAGAACGAAAATATATGTATATATACAATTTTCTCTCGCTTTATACAAACACAAAAGCATTTTATAAAATTTGCGTTTTTTGTATAAAGTGAGAGAGGCGAGTGAGAGAGCGAGATCTGGGAGAGGGGAACGAAAATATATGTATATATACAATTTTCTCTCGCTTTATACAAACACAAACGCACTTTATACACTTGCGTTTGTATAAAAAATGAGAGAGGCGAGGGAGAGAACGAGAGTGGCGAGCGAGATTCACCAGGAGAGAGGTGAAATAGCAACAATTTGCTATGAGGTACAATTAAATCAAACTATATTTATAGCATTTAATTTGAATTAATAGTTTGCTATTATATACAATTTTCCCAAAAAAGAACCATCAAAATCGATGACTGAAAACCAGCATTGCGAATTGTCATGGGGTCCACCTTATAAGATACTAGAAAAAAAAATATAAAAACAATTACACTTTCACTATTTATTGATAATTGATACTCTATTGTTAAAGTAAAATTAAGCAAGTGTAAAACCTATAATGTAGAAATACCTTTCATTTCAAATTGATAGTCTTGCTTTAAAAAAAATATTTCTCACTTTTTAGCAACCATTTAACTTTTTAAGGTCACAAAAATTAAAGATTTATCTATATATCTTATCGAAATAAGAATAAGATATACGTAATTTATGAAGCTTTAAATATGAAATAAGCGGGTCTTTTTTGGTGTTTTTCATATAAAGAAAAAATATTTTCAAAAATTTTAAGTTAGGACAAACTTTCTAACTCTTAGGCATATTTTGTCAAAATACAAAATCATTGAAGAATGTGTGTAACTTTCTTTTAAAACTGAAATTGTTATGAGATTTTGAATTATAATAGATTTTCTATTTAGTTATTTTTTGATTATTTAAAATTTAATTTTATTCTATTAATATCAAAATAAGATAGTAGAGATATTGGTTTGGGTGGGGGTGGAGGAGGGTTTGGGCAAGGGCGTGTGTGGTTCCCCCCCCCCCCCCCCCCCCCTTTTTTTTTTCTTTCTCTTCTTCTTTTGTTCTTTTTATTTTTTTAACAAAATTAATATAATGAAAAAATTATGTTTTGATTCAATAAGAACACAAAATAAAATTAATTACAATAATATTTCTTCCCATACAAATTTTACACATGTTACATTAGTATAAACATGTTAGGAATTATGGACACCTAAAATCTTTTATTTTTCTTTATTTTAGTTATTAAAATGAAAAGAAAAACCTACTAATTAAAATTAATAAATTACATAATAAATATTTGTTATTAATTTTTCTCATCATTTCAGTTTGTTAAGCCATAAATACATGTATCATCATAGGAGAATCAAAATAGAAAAGCAAGAATAAACGTAGACAATAGTTTTACTTCAACATAAAATAAATCATTGGTTGTTTAAACTTGAAATAAAATAAGGTTTGTTATAACAATTTCCCACTAAGTCTAATGATATAAAATATCTAAACATAAAGTTGATATGAAAGATTTGAACATTCTTCATATTATAACACCAACGAATATTAATGGTTTAAACACATATAAAATTTAACAATTTCAATATATTGCAACCAATGCTTGTATAATAATGACATTAAATTATATAAAAAGGATTAAGTGTTACCTCTTGTGAAAATTAATTTACAAAGAAAAGACCACAACTGGAACCACAAATTAAAAACCATGAATAAAAACCCCGAATTTAACTTTTCTTTTGTCGCTGAACGTTTTTTTTTTTTTTTTTGTTAGTATTGCTGGAAGGAAAGAGTGTTTCGTGTGTGTTTTGGAATTTGGGTGCGTGAGTTTCTGTATTTTTGTTGATTGTTTTCTCTTTTTTTTTTAATCTTTCTATAATTGTGTTTTATGCATGTGTCTGTGTATGAGTGTGAGGGGGTAATGGGAGAAGTGGGGTGAGATGTGGGTGAGTGGGGTAGTGTAGGATAGTATTAGCTTCTTTTTTATTAATATAATATAATATAGAAAAAAAACATTTAGTATTAGTGGGTCCCATATGTTCTATTGTTGATGAACAATATTGTTGGTGTCGGGTTATGACGGTTCTACTGTAGAGGCGGCTTCACTGTTTATCTTTTTCTTTTAATTTGTGGAGGAAATTTTTCGCTTTTTTCAAAGTATCTTCTGATATAGTCTGGACGATCCCTGGGATGATCTTCCCCTTGTATTATTACTTTTACCTCTGCCCTTGGTAATCCAAGGAG